TTGACATCCTTGACACGGCCTTCTCCTATGGCCACAGTTCTCGTCTCCACAGTCTGGGTGCTGGTCTGCTTGTCCAGAGTGCTGAGGGAAGTGTTGGTGCAGGATTCCACAAGGATGGCCGCCTCAGTGTTGGTGGACTGGTCCACCTGCTCCATAGCTGTGCTGGTATGCTGGTTTGTGGTATGGGGCACTGCTGTGACTGCAGCTTCTACCTGGCCCACAGCCTCTGTGTTCACACTGCGGGAGGTGCACTCCTTGGGAAAGCTGACAGTCACATCAACAGAACAGTCTCCACAGCCAAGAGACCGCACATCTTTGAGGTTCAAGTTTGTCTTAAGGAGTGTCAGGTCGCTTCCAGAAGCCGCTGTGTTGCTGCCTGTTTCACAGACACTGACTTCCACACCTACACTCTGGTCACAGGTGTCCACAGACCTCCCTATACATTGGTCACACATTTCCACCCTCTCCTTCATGATCCACCAATTCATAGGCAGCTCAGGCCCCACGATTTGATTCTTGCTGTTGGGTTGGCAGGAGATGCCTACTGTACTTGTTTGGACAGAGGTCCCAACACACGTGTCCACTGTATTCACGTGACTGCTAACCATTTGGTCTCTGGTCTGCACTACTGCCTCGACCAACTTGCTGAAGACAAGCGGTTGGGCCATCGTGGCCTTGTCAACTTTTTTCCTGGATCCAGCAGCTTGCAGTTCTTGCTTTAGCTTGGTCATCTCCCGGTCATGGGTAGTTTCTTTAAGCTGTACCTCCAGGCGGTAAATTTTTTCCTTTAAAGCTTCTATGGTCTGCTGTTGCAGTTCAATCTCTTTGTCAGCTTCAGTGACCACCCCGAGCATGGCTTCTGTCACGCTGACACCAAAATTTCTCATCTCAGTGACTGTCCCCACAGCTGTATCCTTGCAGGACTGGAAGTCCCTGTGGTATACAACAATGTCATTCATGTTCTCATCGTCACCCACAGCCACAGACTGATACTCCCGAGATGGACACTGTCCGTTCTCCCTGAGCTCCGATGAGGCCTCACAACTGCTGTCCTGAATCTTCTGCTCCAGCGCCTGCATGTCTGCCGTGAGCTGCCGGAACTCCTTGATCCTCTGTGTGCTCTGCTCCACACTCTCCATCTCTTCCTCCTCGTAGTCAATGTATAATTCCCTGCCACTTCTCCGGGCTTGGGAAAGTAATTCCAGCTGGGATGCATTACCCGCACTGTAAGAGCGCTTTCTCACACCACAGACATCATTCTGGGATGCAGACCTCTGACTTTTCAGCTGGGAGGCCAACTGCCGCTTTTCCTCTTGCAAGACAGAGATCTTAACCTGGAGCACAGGGATGGTTCTCACCTGCTCCTCGAGCTCCTTCAGGCGTTTCAGGGCAATGGCCATCTGTTCACGGATATGCTGCAGGTGCATGGGGCTCACATTGGTCACCGGGGTGGAGATCCCTGAGCTCAGTGGGCTGTGGCGGATGGAGCTCCCCATGGAGGAAGTGGTGGTGGCAGCCGCTGGGGCATAGCTGCCATAATCCCCGTTGCCTTGGAATCCGTTTTGAAGCTGGTGCACGGCAGGATTGTGGATACCAGAACCCACAAAGGATGGAAGGGAGCTCGTGGAGCCCATGCCTCCAAAACTGGCCAGCCTGGGCCTTCTGAACTCACCCGGTGCCATCTGCATGGTGACTCTCTCCTGTTCTAGTCTTCTCCGGGTCTCCATCAGCGTCTTGGTGACATGAAGGTTGTGCTTTGGGAGTTGTGGTGAGGGAGGGGGTAGCAGCTGCCGATTTTCTGGGATGGTAAAAGTGGGTGAGGTCTCCAGTGGAGCAGATGGCCGTGGGATTGGGGTTGATGTAACTTGGCTTCTGGCTAGGAGGAAGCCGGGACACTGCTTGTTGTCATCGCTGTTGGAGGACGACAGGGATTCAGTGGATGTCCACACACCTTGATGACCAGGTATAGCCCTGGCTTCTGGACATGGCACAGATGGCTTCTGTCTCTTCCGGATGTTCAGTTTCTTAATGGTATTTCCCTTCTGTATGTCATCCACGTATTTGACAAAATCTAGGTCTAGCTGATAACCATAAGGCGTTTCCACAAAATAAAGGTCTTTCTGTTCCTTGTCATGGTCTCCATTCAAAACATCATCTGCTTTTTCTGAGAAAGAGAAAAGAATATGATAATCTCATGCATTACATGTTTTAGTAAAAACTATTATTTGTGTATGCTGTAATGTAGCAAGCTAGTCTGAGATTTAAGAGCTGACAGCCCTATTTTCTGAACCTCAGTTTTCTTGAATGAAAATGGAGACACTGCCAGCTACTTGGGAGACTGAGGCAGGAGGACTGCAAGTTCAGGCC